TTCATAGCTTGATTTGTACTGATACCGCTGTCCTACGAGTTTCATAAAATCGAGGCGAAACGTATATTTACTCATATAAAGAGTTGGGGTTTATTTGTGATAAATCTTTCGGGGGCGACAATAACTTTTGCTTCGACAAACGCTGCGGTAATTACCTGTATTGGTAACGCACAACAGCTTTGAGATGCGTCAGTGCTGGGGGTGGGTTATTTTACCCCGGAAAACGGCCTCGGTCACGCTAATGCATTGTCGACAGTCCGCCTCTCATTTACATAGACAGGGCAATTAGTTCCGAATGATTTTCGGTCGATAGTTTTCAACTTCATCTGGAATGCAGATTGGTTTCACAGTCAGCATTATGAACAACTCACTTGCTTTTCGCACTCTGGTCAGCCCAAAGATTATGCAATTAAAATTTTACAAGAAGTTTCCCCCCATCAGCACCGTGTGAATTGACAATTTTAGCGTTTAGCGTTAAACAAGGCAGCGTATGTAATATGCACGTGAGAAATGAACCTGCTCATTTTCGAAGCTTATTAATTTACGTGTACGTCACTTCAGTAGGTGCTTTGAGAAAGGCAGTTCGTCTAAGGGGAAACTATGCAATTAAAGTAATTACTCGTTCTATAGAGGGTGGAACGTGAAATCAATATTGGAAGTGATCGACCGTCATAAATGTTTACTTGTGAAACTTTATGATAGGCCACCCTTCTTTTCAAATATATCCTCTTCTTTTCTTTATATATTATTAAAGGCTGTATCGTTCCTGTTGCGCGGAAACTGTTTCAACGTGAATCGACCCGTCACTGAAATATTTCGAATTAAAGATTAAATGAAGGAAATGTTCTTATTCTACGCTTTCAGAGTGTTGCGCTACGGGAATTGGGGCAAGAAAATATAGTTAATTACAAATAATCTCAGTTTTGTTAAATTGGAACACTATACCTGGTGTTACACGACCGCATGTAAAAAAAATTGGGTGATAGAGGGGATCAAGGCAAGCACTTTTTAATAAACCGAGGATCCAATGTGTTTCGTTTGGAAGCCACCCTCAAAGAAGTGGTGAAATTTGGATTTCTTATTTAATTTGTTTCTCTAAGAGTTACAAAGATGGGTGACGCGTCCTTGAACAGGTTTTCGGGTATGCCCTATCCGATTTTGAAATTTTTTTTCAAAATTCTTACCACGAAAGGGCGCGCCCCTACTTGAGGGTGTGAAAAAAATTCTGATAAAATGACGCTCAGAACATACGATGTTTCTATGGAAACGACCGAGACGACAGAACCTACGCTTGCTATTTTTGACGTCTAAATTAATTTCAGAATTATCAGAAGCTCACAATGATTTATATATAACGTCTTTTGATTTTGTGAAAGACGAAGAACACCCAACGAAATCTACCCCACCATAACACTCCAAACAACTTTCTGTCAATTCCATACCATCCACGAATACACAACAAATTATCCACGACCCTTAAAACATTCAACCTAAAATTAACTGCTAAATCCCATTAGTCCAGTAACGTTGTTCCTAAAAATGGGGGGTACCAAGCGTCAATCAAATCCGGTAGTTCTGATTTTTTGTGGGATTGCTTATGTTGTTAACCCAATGTATAATTCAAGTTTTCGACCTCGAGCGGCGAACGCAACATAGTCAAATATACTAAAAACCGAGGAATTTTCGTTTTCTTTTCAGATTTTGACGATTTTAACCCTGAAGGACCAGTTTTTCGCCAATAACGGTTCAATAAGTTTTCAAAGCAGACCAAATTTGCTATAATTTAAGCCCACATCCGTTTGTATAGGTGTAATAGATTCCGAGATAATGCTTTTCAAAGATTGTCAATTTTTCGAATTCAAAAATCTTTCACAATACTTTATGGGTGACGTTTCTATTCTGTTTTACACAGATGCCAAGAATGGGCGGTATTACGCTGAAAAATAAAACGAATAATGAATTTTGTAAGGTGGTAGTTTCTGTTGCCAACTAAACTGTCGAACAATCATTAGCTGTTAATGTCAAAGATCCAAGAGTGTAATCGTTTGATTTAGTTCTGTTCAGTTCAGTGCTGGATATTTTTACTTTACAATAATTTGATGCCGTTTTTTATTTTCCCTGATTTTTTTCTGATCTAGAAATGGTGGAGGATGTATTGTGGAGAGATGTTACACAAGATATTGACAATCCAGCCACAAACCTTTCAAGTGAGGAAATGGACGATGCTCAACCGTGCTCGTCCAAGAAGGGAAAATATACTTAGATGGAAGTCAAACAAAATTTCTTTTTATAAAATGACTGTTTTGAAGTTTAATTAAGAATATCATTTACACCTCTCGTTTTCTTTTATAGAATTACAGAACAACAAAATAGTGCTAACAATTTTCGACTTTGAAAAAATCGATAAACTTTGAAAAGCATTATCTCGTAAACTATTACGTCTATAGAAACGGTTGTAGCCTCAAGGGTAGATGACAAATTTTTTAAAACCACTTATAACTGTTCGTATACCTCTACTATAACTTTAAAATATGATATTTCAGCAAAATAAATCATATTATTGCAAATTTATGCAATTTAAATTGTAGATTTTTATTGTAGCGCCAAAACGCTGTTTTGTGTCATGGCGGTGGCGGTGTCTGTGACGTCACAGTCCTGACAATTATAAACACATAACCCCAGCGTAAATAGTTTAAAAGATTTCGTGATGAATCATAACTACTATAAGTGGTGCCCTACCATGGGGTACACCTTGTCGTGGTGGTAGGGCTCTCTAGTCACATTTTTCTATGGCACAGCTAAGTATACCAGGCGGGTAAATCTGGTTACAAGGATGCTGTATCATTCAAATGCTTCATGGAGTAGAGAAATCCAAAAGGGTTCTCGACGACTGCTCATTAAACGTAATATAGAAACCTATATTGACATGAGCAGCACATGTTTCACGTACATTAACTCCCGAGGCGTGCGGTAGACGACAATTTGGACAACTTCCGAATCCGATTCAGCCATTTGCCGATAGGGTTTCGAATAATCGGACTAGATGGGTAAGAAGGAAGCATGGGGAAACCAACTATTTTGTCACGCAATTTCTAACAGGGCATGGAGAAAATGGGGTGTATCTGAAAAGAATAAGAAAGATGGACAGTGATGCCTGCACAGACTGTGGTGCTGTGGATGATGCAGGACACGGAGTGTTAAAGTGCCCAAGGTGGGAAGCCGAGAGATACCGCGTCGCTATTAGAGTAGGAGAAGTAATAGAAAAGGGTAACATAATCGAAACAATGCTGGAAAGTGCAGAGGAATGGAGACCCCTCTGGAAGAATGCTTGAGCGATGCCCGGAGGCGGATATTTTGGAGATTAAGGGATAAGGGGTTTTAGTGGGTGTGAGCCCCACACTACCGTTGCGAACAGACGGTGTGTGGTAAAAAAAAGATCATGACTTGTTAAACGTGATAAAAGAGACTTGATGGTAGGGCAAAGAAAATAATTGTTTTCTTCGTCGACAACTAAGGAAACTGCATACAGCTTTGCGTGAACCGTATGTTGCGGGCAAATTTTGACTTAACTGTGAATAAGTTGCCATCACGCTTAAGAGTCTTCTGTTCGACTGCACCCAATGTAAGGTTCCATAAGAACGCCCGCTATAGGAACTGTTTTTCCAAAAAAAGGTGTTTTAAGAACTACTTTAAAATTTAGATCTTTATCTACAAAATGTTCGTAATGTAAAAAAGTTGCGCTTACGTAGACGTACAGAAAACTCTTAAAGTGGACATAGCTTACTAAATCATCTCCATATGATAGCTTCGATGACCTAAAAACAAAGCATCTTATATCACAGTTTTGATACGGTTCTGTGCAACGTCTCCCTGTCTACACTGATACGATACGGGGATACGATACGAGGATACGCAACAAATCTGGACCGGTCTTGTACACATTCTTCTAAATAACTCATTTCTTGTAATAAGCTTAACTTAAAAACCTACAAGACTTATATGGCAGTTTTCTGATGAGCAAAAATCTTTCTGTTTGATGCAAGAAATATTCCCAACATCATTACATCATTTTTTGGCAGATTTGATGCTATCAGCTTTCGTATACCCACTTTCCATTCCTATCTGGTTTTAAAAACTAAACTTTAGGATAATATGATCACCATAAAATGGAACAAGCACTAAATTAAAAAACGTGGACAAACTATATCAACGCACAGAGGATTAGGATAATGACGTCACGCGCTCTGATTGGCGTTTGATATCACGTGACAAATGTCGTTATTTTTTAATTTTATTTTTACTAAAATATAATAGTTTCTCTTGTACATTACCAAAGAAAGTTATTTTGCGATACCCTGGTACCTTACTCTATCTTATGAAACAAACATTTATTTATTCTTTTTCCACTGTCATGTAGCCTATT